CATTGGAACTCCGAAGTTAAGCGAGTTTGCGCGAGAGCAATCTCATAATGGGTGACCCACTGGGAAGTTGCTCGTGAGTTCCCAAAAACAAAACCATGAGGGCGTGGTCGGGGCCCAAAGCGGACAATATCGTGCTACGGTGGTGGAGCGGATCCGGGAAGTGATCCGCCCAGAGCTGGGATATGACATTGGGTATTAATAACATCATTAATTATTTCAATAATAAAATATTTTTATTTTTAAATATATTCCTTTAGTGTTAAAAATGTTACAATTAGTATATTTATATTTATGGCTAAATTTTTTATCATATATTTTTATTTTTAGTTTGTACCTATTTTTAATTTACAAATATTTTTTAATTTGTACCAATTTTCTTTTCATTTTTAATTTGTACCCATATATTAGTTATGTCACATCCCGGCCCGGGTGGGACGACTTCCCGGGCCCGCTCCACTACCGTAGCACGATATTGTCCGCTTTGGGCTTACCATTCCCTCACGGTTTTGTTTTTGAGAACTCACGAGCAACTTCCCAGTGGGTCACCCATCATGGGATTGCTCTAGCCCTCTTCTCGCTTAACTTCGGAGTTCCTACGGAACCCGAAGCCAGTGAGCTCCCAAAAGGCCTCGTGCTAGGTAAGGATGAAATATACATATAAGGATCAGTCCCCTGGGCGATGTGGGATGTCACAATCCACCCCCCTTAGGGGCCCGACGTCCTCGTCGGCACATTTCCGGCCAGGGATAGGCTCTGATACCAATGTCACATCCCGACCCGGGGCGGATCACTTCTCGGGCCCGCTCCACTACCGTAGCACGATATTGTTCGCTTTGGGCTTACCATTCCCTCACGGTTTTGTTTTTGGGAACTCACGAGCAACTTCCAAGTGGGTCACCCATCATGGGATTGCTCTAGCCCTCTTCTCGCTTAACTTCGGAGTTCCTACGGAACCCGAAGCCAGTGAGCTCCCAAAAGGCCTCGTGCTAGGTAAGGATGAAATATACATATAAGGATCAGTCCCCTGGGCGATGTGGGATGTCACAAGTTTCTTTTTGTGCCCATATTTGTTAAAGTTCTATTTGTGTTTGTACCCATGTGTATACCGTCAGTCTGTCACGTGACATTGTATATTTAACAAATGATAGAAAAATTACATATGGTATATTTATGTTTTATGCCTAAACTTTGTATCATATATTTATATTTTTAGTTTGTACCCACTTTTAATTTGCAACATTTTATTTTTTTAATTTGTAGTATTTTCTTTTTAGTTTTATTTTGTACCCATGTATTAATTTCTTTTAGCGCCTATATTTTTAAAAATTCATTTGTACTCATAATTTTTAATCTTTTATATGTACCCTAATTTGTTTATAATGTACCCATTCTTCTTTATTAATGTATCACTTTGTTATATGTGAAATGTACCAATTTTTTGAACACTATGGATACATTCTTTTGCCATTTATTATTTCTTATTTTTACATAGTTTTTATCCATTTATTCAATCAAAATGTTTGAATTTTTTTATTGTAACCGTTTCTAATAGTATTATAATGAGGGATTTTAAAGGGGCATTTTGATATAGGCGCCTCGTTTTTTAATTTTTAAGACTAAACATACACTCCTTTTGAAAATTTGATCAAACATTTTCCTAAAATTTTGGTTATTAATTTCAGTTTTTCACATAAGTTTATTTTGTTTAGAATTTTTTGGTTATTAATTTCAGTTTTTCACAACTATTCCTAGACATTTCGTTTTTTTTTTCCCCTCTTATCCCTATATTTATGCATTTATTATCCATCTCTATGCATTTTTTTATTGTTTGTTATAATTTTACTTTTTTTTTTGTGTGAATATAGTAGAATATTTATAAAAAAATTGTCAGATTTTATTATTTAGAAGACCCAACACATAATAAAGATTTGTGTGATTATATAGCTACATCTAGTTACCTATAATATGGACACATTTAGTTTTATAGTGGATTTGATTTTTGTATTTCTCAGTACATTTGGAATGTAAATGTACCAAAAGGGTTATCAAATAGAGACATTTGGTTTTGTGGTACATTTGTGATTTTTTGTTCATTTGATCTTTTGGTACATTTGGAATCTAAATGTACCAAAAGGGTTACCTGACAATGGGCACATTTGGTTTATCTATATATTTGAAATCTAAACGTACCAAAAAGGTTACTATAACAATGGGTACATTTGAATTTTTGGTACATTTGGTTTCTCGGTACATTTGAAATCTAAACGTACCAAAAGTCGATACTTTTGTTCTCAAATGTACCATAAATTTTAAATATATTAAATATATATATATACACACACACACACATATGTGAAAAAATATGTATTGAAGACTTTTTATTGAGACATTTTTAATAGAAGGAGAAATTTTTTTTTTAAATACTGATAATAAGGTAATGAGGAATTAGTTAATTAATTTTTTATTTTATTTTATTAAAAAAATTCATTTAATGTGTAGAAGGGGATTGACAAAATTAAATTCCTATATTGTAGGCAATTAGTTGCTAAGTTACCTTATGCCTCTATATAAATGCACTTAAACTAATGATATGGAAATTAAATAAATAGAAAACTATCGAGGTGACAATTGATCAAAGAACCTTAATCAAATCTTTAAAAGGGATGAATGTTTAATCTAACAACTATAGAAAAGATGTAGGGCATTCCAATTTTCCCGATTTTAAATTTATAGGATTATAAATCTCATAAAATATCAAACAATTAACGTCAAAACTATAAAAATATAAATATTAATAGTAATATAATGAGGTGTACAAAGTCAAGAGACCTTGAACAAACTTTGAGTACTATTAAGGTTTTAATCAAATAATGGTAAGGATTAGAGATCGCATTCAAAGTATCCCTATTATTTAAGATATTCTAGAAGGGTTGACAAAATAGTGAGATCGATGCTGACTTATGAGGATTTTGGCCTACGTAATTAACATACAAAATTTCATTGCACAAAACATAAGGATTTGATGAATGTCAGGGTTTCGTTCTCCTAGAGTTATTAGAGTCCAGAAAATCGTGATTACTCAATTTCAATCTTAATTCTACTGTGGAAGAGAAACTACAAAGAAAAAAGTTGAATGACTATTTAATGTTGGATTTATATCAAACAGTAGGTGACTACAATTTTCTTAAACGATGGAGTCAAGGAGGACAAGTTTATCACATATCAAATAATCTCTTATAACAAAATAAATTCTAATTTTCTAAAACATATTATATTTGCTTTTCTGCTTTCATTATTTTTATCAACTAAATATAAACTCTGTTAAAATTCAAATATATTGGTGCAAACAGACCCTAAGGCTTCCTTAATTTTAGCTACCCTGTTGAAGATGGACAGTAAAATATGGATCCAGTCAAGAGTCCATAAGAAATAATTCCAATTGTTTTATCGGGCATGGATAAAACCAAAAGGCTTAAGTGACCAATTCAACAAAACAAATAAAAAATAAAGAAATATCGTTAATTTAATGTCATCATAAGGGAATCTAAAATTACCACTTATTATTACGATTTAATAATATTTTTTATTAAAAATAAACTCGAACTATATTATTATTAATTTATTATAAAGCTAAATTGACTGCTTCTTTCGTAACGTAGATAATATTGTGTGTTAAAAAAACTTAAAACTCTTTTCTTGGAATTATTAAGTCATTCTTCCTAGAGCCTTTGGATATACATGTTGACAAAATGGCGACATCCCAAAAGACTTCAACGAGTCTCTCTGCCTACAAAAAGTTGACAGACACTTTTTATGACTGTTTTAAGCCTGTAAATAACAAGTACCAACAAGGCAACAACGACCGAAGACTATAAACAAATCTCAACAAATAAAAATAGGGTTAACTGTAAACACCACAATATAGTGTGATGATGAGGGACGAAGTTTTAATTTTCTCTTTACCAAAAAAAAAAAAAAATTAATTTTCTCAAACTACATTTTGTGATTTCTGAATTATATTAATATATTTATTTTAATTAATTTTACAGTCTAATTAGGTGTTAGGGTTGGTGTGACATAAACTAAACTCACGTTTAAGAACACATTGACTGTTAATCTTATTGTTTAGTACTTTACTCTTTTAATTTTTTATGAAATCAATTGTCAATCTGTTCCTTAAATATGAATCCAATTTATACCGCATCAGCAGTTACATCTAACTATACGATGAAATTGAAAAGAAAAGTTACATGCGAAAATTGAAACTTGACTCGTATTACAAATGACCTCAAACCTTGTATAAAATGCGATTAATTCAAAAAAAAAAAAACAATGAAAACAAATATTTTCCCTTTATATATTTAATAATTGACTATAAAAATTTGACTAATATATTCCACATTTTAGTCTTATTTAATTTTACGTCGTTTTATTTCGTTTTATTTTGTTTTTAACAAATGATACTATTACACTAAAAAGGAATGAGTGAGTTTAACATCACAATGAGATAGTAACAACGTGTTTCAAATTCGTCTTTGACGGAAAAGAATAATACTAAACTGTAATCCTAAGTGACATATTTTGTATTAAAACAGCCCTTACCATCCAAACCTAAGGAAGTCAACCAACCGTAACGAAGTTTTTCTCTACAAGTTAGATGGGGGGCATTCATCATCCCAATGTACATAAATTCCGCTTCCAAGCTTTGTTCTAGCTCCTCTGTATCTTTTATACCTACCAACCCTACCAACCGAACCTTCCTTTTAATTTCCTCTACATCTTCAAGCATTCAATCCATCAATCCTATTATCTTTAACAATAATAATAAATATTTTTAATTCTGTTTTCTTTTTTTTTTTTTTGGCTATTACCATTATTGTTTTCACAACCTGGAGGAAAACAAAAATACCATCATCATTTTAAACCAAAATATGATCAAACTTGGCAATTTATGAGTACTCGGAAAATGAAGGGGCAAAATTTAAGTGCTACAAAAAAGATAGAACATACGAATACAAGTAACTCAAAAGCTGTCAGTTTTACATTCATGATCAGGTCCTCTAGTAAAATTCAGGCACCCAAAACAAAATCAAACCCACAAAAATAAAGATTAAAAGTTAAAAACCCACCAAACAAAACCACAAACATTTATGATCCAACTAGTTTAACCGAGATCATAGATAATATAATTTAAATTAGAGATTAGTCATTGACTTAATTTTTTTTTTTTCTCTGGCCTACCCAAAATTTCCAGTAAATTAAGTCTTTGTTTTTGTCTTAAACTCTTAATTTTTTGCTAATCTTCGAACCCAACTTTTTCCCAAATTGCGTTTCTCACCCGCCTCAAATCTCTGCCTTTCAGAGTCCTCCCAATCCCTTCGTGAACAGAAAACGAAGCCCCTCTCATCCTCGCCAAGTACTCGTGAGGTGGGACCCTCCCATACCCGCCGTCGTTGTCGTCGTCGGCACCGTAGAAATCCCCACCGCCGCCTTCACCACTTTCCAGCTTCCTATGCTCTTTGTACCCCTCCTTGAGAATCTTGGAGCAGTCCGGAATGTTCACCGGCAACGAGGATGACGTCACCACCTTGGCGGCGCCACCCATCTCCGCCACGCCCATGCTCATCACCATCACCTTCCTCCCCGTTTTCTTCGGCTCTCTGCGGCTGGGAACTGAGCTCTTCTTGGACTCTGCAACTGGGCTGGATGATGAGTTCCAGATATCCGCCTCGTCGAAATCGAATAGCCCATCCGAGCCAATTGGGCTGTCGTCCGTCGACGTGGCTGGAAAAATGGAACTGGGTTTGCCATAAAAGGAGGAATTCCTCGACGCCATTGATGGAGAAGCAAGCTTCGAGTTATCTTGGCTCTCTGACTACGCTCTGCCTTCAGTTGGGACTTTTTTGTCTTGTAATTTTTTTTGGGGTGGTTTTATGCAAAATTTATGCAAAAAATGTTGATTGCTCTGCGTTTTATAAGTGTGAGAAATGTGGATAAGCTCCCTCTATTTCTCTCTCATAGTACAGACTACAAAGTTACATTCGTCATGCTACAAGACAAAAAGGGTAAGTGATAGAATGTGGGTATCCTCATATGTCTAGCATGGGGATGGGAAGCTCCATCATTTTCATTTTCATGCTCTAATTGCTTCTTTTGCTTTTTTTAACTTTTTATGGTGCAAAATGATTAGTGTTGTACACCAATTTGTTTACTTTGTTTTAATCTTGATTTAACTTCTTAATCATGGTTACTTCATGTGTAAGCATATAAAAAACGTTTCACCATTTTATTCTCTAAAACTTAAAATTTGTTTCGTTTCGATTTATGGACTCTCTTCTCTCTAAAACTCAAAAGTCGCGCCTTATAACATATGTGGGACCCACATGTGCTAATTAATTTGATTATTTATAATAACTATGCATTTACATTCAACAATTAGAAAATATTAAGTTTCAAAGAAGAAACTAAGAATTTAAAATTTGTTCGTTGCTGGGCTTGAGTTGTAGAGATGAAAAAAATTAATTAGTCTAATGCACCCAAATCAAACCCACATAATGGGATTAACAAAATTAAGGCAATGTAGAGCGAATTTGGAGTTTTATAGAGTAAAATGATAACTTTTGAGTTTCAGATGACAAAATGGAATCAAAATCGAGTTCTAAGAAACAAAGTAGAGTGAACTTTAAGTTTCAAAGAGTAAAGTAACGATTTTTGAGATATAGGGTGCAAGTGACATTAAAATCGAATTCTATAGGCGTAACTAAAAATAATTATATATATATATATAAAAAGCGGCATGCATGTCACTTGCTCTTTATTTGATCGTAATAAAAAAGTACACAATATGTATAAACAAGGTGCTTTCGTAGATATTACAATCGTTATTTTGTTTATGTGCACATAGGTTGGATGATCAGCTGCGCACATCAACAACTTTGTGTGCACAAAATGATTTTTTCAAATCTATGAAAAGTTAATGTGGTAAAATGGTATGACAAATTCTTAGTTGTAAGATTCAAAGTAGAACTTAAAACAATTGTACCATTATTGGCATTCAAATATATTATTATCCATAATAATTTAATATCTTATCCATAATTTAAAAGAGTTCGTTTCAGGAGTGCTCATACATTTATTAATTTGCATTTGAATATATAGTATATATTTACTATGGTCTTATCCACAATTTGGAACACAGCAAGTACTTCATGAAAAGTGTTATGTTAAACACACTACATTTTCTATTGAATAATGTGGCTATACAACACCTGCCACACAATATCTTCTTTAGTAGTTATTATACGAGGGTGAAGTTTGGACATTCCAAGCTAATAATAAAACCAACTGAACAAGATTATAGTAGCTAAACTATTAATCATAAAATTTCTCTATATATATCGAAGTCTGCATTGCCAATATTTTGAAAGCAGCTATCTCGACAAGCGAAAACAAGAGAACTGATGCACGGTGCAATAGATAAAAATGAAATAAAGTAATAGATATGATTGATAGGTAGGGTCCACTATCTCCTAGTGTGAGAAGAGGTCTGAAAACCCTATAAACTTTGGTTCTAGTACTAGCCTACAACGTAGACGCTAGAAAAAACAAAGCAACATACTTTTAAACAATAGAAAGGCACAAATATGAGATAAAAATCTCTCTAAATATTTTATTCACCAACAAAAACATCCAACTCTTTCATCTTACAGAAAGAAATGGTTTTTATAACCATTTTGTAACTTACTTTTTGAAATTAAAAAGGCAATAAACATAATAAGACCTAAAACTGAATATTACATAAACAAAGGCTATTATCAGCCATAGAAACGCCTTGATTGTTATGATTAGCCATAAAAAAAGGTCTTGAAATTAATCTTATCTGCCATTTGTATTAAAGCACCCTCTTTATTCCAGCACATAAATCTGTCTTCCAATAATTTATGGTGCTCCATGCCAATCAAATCATTTATTTCCCATCTTGCATCATTCTCCCCTTCTCGAAGAGAACTCGTCCTTGAGTTTTTTTTGTAAGAACATGAATCCAAGTCACGAAGTGCTACAACCATTCTAGGTTGCCATGCTTTGTTTTCTTCTTCAAACTTACAAACATATTCTTTGCATAGAATATATAGAGGTTAGCCATCTCTTGGAATCGAACTATAGCATCAAGATAGGAACAAAATGCATAAATATTTAAGACTTTTAACAAATCAATCCTTTCTCAACCTCTTGTTGATGGAAGCATGTATAAAATCCAACCAAACTAGATCATGGAATTGAAACTTAGTAAAAGATTCCACCACCTCTGTCAAAATGCTTGTCATCGTTTGTTTTCTTGTGCGTCCAATTTTGAATTCCAATACCAAATTGTTGTAACTTCTTTGATAGACTTCAAATAGAAGTGTTGATGAACCACTCCAAATTGTAAAGAAAACTCTTGGCCTCCAGTGCCCAGATTAATTATATCCTCATCAACACCATCATCAACACACAAAATCATAATGACACATTCAACAATAAATTTCACAAGAGCTATCTGGACAACGATCAAATTTTGAAGGAAGATCAAGATTTATGAAGTTTTCACTTGAAAATTCCGAAGCAACCATTTCTTTTACTTTCGTCTGTAAAACATACCTAGTTTTAGTTACTGGCAGCAGTGACATGCTTTAGTAAAACACAAATGTCGTTTTGCCCAAATAACGGATTGGAGAACTGCTTGATGATTGAAAACTAGACTGGAAGGGCTTTCAAATGATATATTGCTTGATGGTCGGGTAGTTCTTAATCAACTCGAAACTCAGCTTGCAACAGAGATGATTTGCTAGTTTCGCACAACACCAACACTCTGTGGTGTTTTGCAAATATTTATTCACACAAAACTCCATTTGATGCACAATTTGTTGGGTTGGAAACAAGACTCTCTGAGCTTTCCGATGATGTATAGATGGTGTGGATTCTTTGTCTCAAAAAATACATATTTTCTGACGAACTTGACTTTCATAGTAGGAACTCGAATTGATGTCGTTACCATTGATATAGCGTCACTCTTGGATCGAGCTGATGCTTTGATACCAACTGATGCACGGTGCGACAGACATAAACGAATTAAAATGAAATGAGAACAAAAAATTTGGATAAAAAAGGATGGATATGTATGATAGATAGATAGATATAGGGTCCACTATCTCCTAGTGCGAGGAGAGACCTGAAACCCCTAAGATCTTTGGTTTTAGTATCAACCGACAACGTAGACACTAGAAAGAATAAGACGCAAACTCTTAAACAAGAGAAAGACACATAAAAACGAGTTTACAACTCAAATATCAATATGATAATTCAAACGAATGAATCATTTATTTCCTATCCTGCACCAAGAACTCAAAGGATAAAATTACCAACCGCTTGTAGCAACAAATTAACTTAACTGAGCGTAGAATCAAATTCCACTAGTAACTTTCCAATCCGTAATCTCCAATGTAAGCCCTAAACACAAATTTAATATTTGATAAATTAGTATCCAGTCCCTAGTTTTTAACGTTCATTGACTAAGGCCTTATCAGTTTTTAGATTTTGATTTAAGTTCCTAGCATTAATATATTAATGAATCACATGTAAGTTACATAATTTTTATAATAAAAATTAGTAATTGGTTTAGAGTTTTAATACTCACACCCTTATTAAACTCCTAATTAATTTTCAATTCAAACATTTCCAAAATATAAAAAATAAAATTAGAATAATTTTGTACCCTTAAATTTTTTTAAAAAAAAAATTTCAAATTTTTAATTTTATATGTACCCATTCTTAAATATACCAATTTGTTATATGAAAAATGTACACTTTTTTTAATATAAAATGTACCCATTTTTTTTATATAAAATTAATTCAATCTTATGTCTAATCCATTTTTTAAACTTATATGGGAACATTGTATTTCATTGATTTGAGAATATATGCATGTCAAGTTTAATAGAAGAAATTTAATAATGTTATTAAGCCTAATATCTTTTTTTATTATTTGTGTTTTTGAAAAATGTACCCATGTTTTGGTACAATAATTTTTTGGTTAGTTTTGATGAACGTACCGATGTATATGTGTATACACACAATATATTGAAGAGTATAATTTATCTTTAATATTTTTAATCCCATAAATTATGGGTTTTATTTATAATCTCGTTGATATAAATAACTACAAATTTCATTTTTAATTTCAAAATATAATAGCCTACATATAAATACAATATTACATTAATATCAGGAACTTCGATAAAAAACTAAAAACAACAAAAGTTTCAGTCAAAGAACATTGGTAATTAAAGACCGCATCCAAAGTGCCTCTTTAATATTTTCTCTACTTAAGGTATGGTGTTCGAATTTCACCACGCACATAGAGTCTAATTTTGTGTTATTTCTTCACCTTTGCATAATAGATGATCCAAGAAAAAAACAATATTTTGCTTGGAGAGCAGCTCAAATTTTAAATTCTTCAATTGCCTTTAACTTTCGTACGCAATTCAACCATTAAGTAGATATGGACGAGAATATCCTCACATAGATCATCGACATGTGGACCAATCAAAGTTTCCTGATTGCACCATATAATTGCACCACTGAGCCCGTGCCACACTTGGGTTTCCGTATAGTCTTGAACCATGCTGTAAGTCAAGGGGGGCCCCACGGCCCATTCAATGTCTTGAAAAGAAAGAAATGTCCATATCGCGACACATCACTTTCCAAATTTTATTGGTGAAATACGCGTTTTGTCGCGCCTCGAGAAGGTCCAGTAGGCTATGGGCGGTGGAAGGAGAGGAACGTTCTGCTGCAGCTCAGTAATCTTAGCATAAATCAGCCTGCGCTTTTCTGTGATGGACAACTATGGACTGCTGCGATTCTTGGGATAGATGTTATATTTGGATAAGGACATAGACTGGAATCACCTCCAGATCCCAACCTTCG